TTCTCTGCACGCCCGTGTCAAAGCTGGCGACACAGACGAATCTCACGATGCTCAGGGTTCCACTGAAGGACTGAGCCCACACATGAAACAGCCATTCAGTCCTTCATTTAACCAAGAGTCCAGTTCATGCTGTGCGGCAGGCTCTGGGCCAGGTGCTGGCACTACAGAGGAATGAGGGATGGAGCAGGAAGGGCTCTGGACTGAATATGTGTTAAAATAATACCATCTGAAGCAAGACCAGAGTGCCTTTCCACCTCTTTCACCCTAAATTCATCTGCCTCACCTGGAGTTAATACCTAACAGGCCTGCCTCCTTCTCAAATGTGGCCACAGTTAGTGGCTGCAAACTTTTGCTCTCCTCTCGCTGGTAGTTCCACCCTGAGAACCTTGGGCAGCCACACACCTGACAAGCTGGGATACAGTCTTCATCTGTATTCATTAGCTCCACGTGCCTCCAATTATTTGGTCTTAGAACTCCCTGACACTCTGAAAAATCACTGAGGATCTCAAAGAGTGCTTCTGTGTGTGTGTGCAGGTTACACCTGCAGATAATTACCATATTCAAAAATAAAACTAGGGGAGAGGGATATGGCTCAGGGGTAGAGCACATGCTTAACATGCAAGAGGTCCTGGGTTTAATCCCCAGTACCTCAATTAAAAAAAAAGAAGAAAAATAGAGAAGGATTTTTAAATGTATGTATTCATTTCTATTAAAATAATAATAAGCCCATTACATGTTAAATTTTTATGAAGGATAACTATTTTCCAAAACAAAAAGCAAAAAGAATGGCATCGTTTTACAGTTCTACAAATTTCCTTGCTGTCTGGCTCAATACAAGTGAGCCGAGTCCCCATGGCCACTTCTGTGCTCTGTCTGCTGTGGTGTCACATGTTGTGAAGCCCCCGGGAAGCTCCACCGTGCGTTTCTGATGGACTGAAGGTGAGAGGCCAAGAGCACAGGGCACCGTCCTCTGCAGGAAGCTGACAGCCCGTCACCACCATGTGGGTCAGGGGCCCAGGTGGGTTCTCATCCTGGAGAAGTGCCCCATCTTACAGCTACCCTCCGCCCATCAGTCAAGAGGATTTAGACTTCTCATTCAACACAATGATCTCAAGCTCCCATCATTTCCCTTTCTCATTCAGCTTAATTTTTTTTACCTGTTTTCTTTTTCATTTTGCATTGATTTCTTCTGTTCCCCACTTTTACTTCTCTCTCCTCTTTAAGAAACCAAATTAGGAAATTTAAGTCCATTCAAGAATCTCTTCTACTTAGTGTGTACTACAGCTTCATGTACTAAAACTTCATTACTTCATTCTGACCCGTATTTATCGTTAAGTGGCTGGCAGGCTCTCTGAGCCATCAGCTTCTTCCAGGAAAGAGCCCCATTTTAGTCCTTACTCCCACAGCATTTGTTAACAAGCATTTAGGAAACATCTACAACATGCTAGATTGACAGGGACACACAGACCATGCCTCCCTATCCCACCTCCAGGAGACAGTCCCTGCAGGAGAAAATCATGCCACAGGCAGCTCCAGCACAGAGGGAGACTCTGACAGACCCCACTGTGGGGCAGGCCAGGAGAGGCTGTCTTTTGATGGAGGGTTTTCTTGGGGGGGTTGGGTTTTTTTTGGTTTTTTAGTTTTTTTTAATTGAGATAAATCACATACCATAAAACTCACCCACTTAAAGGGGTACGATTCGGCAGCTTTCTGTATACTCACAGTTGTGCAGCCCTCACCACCATCTATTTCCAGAACGCTCCATCACCCCGAGAGAAAATCCTTGTCAATTAGCATTCACTCCCCATTCCCCCTCCACCCAGCCCCCTGCAACCATCACCTGCTCTCTGCCTCTGCGTGTGCCTATTCTGGGCATTTCAGATCATTGAAATCAACAATATGTGGCCTTCTGTGTCTGGC